ATTATTATATTTACCTTTTCTAGATGCCCCCCTAGAGCAGCAATGAAGGCAGCAGCTCTCTTTTCTTTGTTTTTTATTTCTTCTTTTATTCTTTTGTTTTGCTGCAGCAGGCGAATTATAGCCCCCACCAATTCAGGTGTATGTACAGCTTCAACTCTGAAATACAGAAACAAAAGCATCAACAAATATATAAATATTTATTACTGCTGCTGCTGCTGCTGCTGCTGCTGTTGTTGCTGCTGCTGCTGGCGCAGATGCTGCTGCTGCTGCTGCAGTTGTTGCTGCTGCTGCTGCTGCTGAGGAAACGTTCGTGCTGCTCGTGTAGTTTCTCCACCCTTTCCTGCTGCAGCAGCAGCTGCTGCAGCTTAGGGTGCTACGCCCGCAGCAGCAGCAGCAGCTGCTGCTGCTGCTGCTGTTGCTGCTGCTGCTGCTGCTGCTTCCTCTTATTATCGCTTATGAGTGGACGTACACTTCGTTGCAGCCAAAGGCGAGCTGAGAACATTCATTTGCTTTGCCTGCATGCAGCAGCAAAAAAAAAACAAAAAAAAAGAAAAAAAGAAAAATATATTTATTTTGGATTCTTTTATTTTTTTGTTTTGTTTCTTATTCTGTCTTTTTTTCTGCTTGAAAATAATGGATAGTGCTGCTGCTGCTGCTGCTGCTGCTGTTGCTGCTGCTGCTGCTGCTGATGCTGCTGCTGCTGTGGCTAATGTTGCTGCTGCTGCAACTGCTATTGCTGTTGCTACTGCTACTGCTTCTGTCTCTGCTCATTTATTGCCGCTGCTGCTGTTGCTGCTGTTGCTGCTGCTGCTGCTGTTGCTGCTGTTGCTGCTGCTGTTGCTGCTGTTGCTGCGGTTGCTGCTGCTGCTGCTGCATTTTTTGTATCTGGTTGCTGTTTATGTTTGTTGCCTTTGCTTACATTTTTTATGTTTTTCTGTTTTTCTTTTTGTCTGTTGCTGCTGCAGGTTGCTTCCTGCTCTTTTTTTATTGTTGTTTATTTCCGTTTCTTCTGTTTCTGTGTTGCTGTTATCTGTATTATATATACTTTCTATTTCTCTTTTCTGCTGCTGCATGCATTTCTTTCTTTTTTTATTGAACCCCCTCTCTGTCTCTCCCTCTCCTTCGCTGCTCCTTGCAGCAGAAAAATATAAAATGCTGCTATCTGATGCAGCAGCAGCAGCAGCAGCAGCAGCTGCTGCTGCTGCTGCTGCTGCTGATGGTGCTGCTGATGCATGCATCGTCTCCTCTTGAGGTGTACATACACCTGAATTTGTTTCGTCAAAAAAAGAAAAAGAAGAAAAATTAAAACCACCACTTAGGGTGTATGTACAGCTCAGCTCTTGTTCTGCTTTCTCTCCATAATCACTTGCTGCTGCTTCTCCTCCTTCTCCTGCTGCTGCTGCTGCTGCTGCTGCTCCTTCTGCTGCTGCTGCTGCTGCTGCTGCTGCTGCATGCTCGTGCAGGGGGCACAGGTTTCCCCCCGCAGACAAAAAATTAATAAAATCAAAATTTTTGTGTCGCCAGGCGGAGCGCAGGTCAGCGACAAGCCAGGATAAATCTTCAGGTGTATCTGCTGCTGCTGCTGCTGCTGCTGCTGCTGTTGCTGCTGCTGCTGCTGCTGCTGTTTCTGGTGTTGCTGATGGTGGTGGTAGTGCTGCTACTGCTTCTGCTGCTGCTGCTGCTGCTGGTGGTGCTGCAGGTAGTTCTGTTGATGCTGCTGATGGAGATTCAGGCCTGTCTGTTGCTTCTGCTGTTGCTGTTGCTGCTGGTTCTGCTCCTGCTGCGGTTGCTGCTGTTGCTGTTGCTGCTGCTGCTGCTTCTGCTGCTGCTGCTGCTGCTGGCAGCCCGTAGCAACTGCTCTTCAGGTTTCCCTCAGCTGCATAGGAGAAGCCAAAGAAAGTTTCTTCCTTTTGACAATCTGCTGCTGCTGCTGCTGCTGCTGTTGCTGCTGCACCTGTTGTTGTTGCTGCTTCTGGTGCTGCTGCTGCTGCTGCTGCAGTTGGAGCAGCAGCAGCAGCAGCAGCAGCTAATGCGATTCGCTTCTTTGGGGGTCGATGCCGAGCTGGAGACAAAGAGGAGGGGAACTCAGTGAGAGCATACGGTGCTGCTGCTGCTGCTGCTGCTGCTGCTGTTGCTGTTCCAGTTGCTGCTGCTGCTCCTGCTGCTGCAGTACCTCCTCCTGCTGCAGCAGCACTAGGACACCCAGCAGCAGCAGCAGCAGCAGCAGCAGCAGCAGCAGGAGAAGCAGCAGGAGCAGCAACAGGAGGCCAGGGGGGACGCAGAGGTTTTGGTTTTTTCGGCGGAGACAAACGAGAAGAAGAATTTTTTTCTTGTTCGTATTGACATGCAATTTGGAGTGTCTGCGCATACACCCCAAAACAAATATATATATATATATATATATATATATAT